ATGTGGAATTTATGAAAAGTCTAAAATAAATGAATTTTTGCTTTTGAATATTTATCATTATAAGGCTACAAATGGCTCTCCATAACTTTTAAGTCCAACCTAGAGTTAAGTTTGACTTCAGGATCTTTGTGAAACACCCCCTGTACATGTAGGTTTAACCAGAACCATGCCATAGCAGAAGTGAGATCAGAGAATTACATGGAACTAGTCAATCCTGTGACCTCTTAATTTGGAGAGGTGTGCCCAAGTTGTAATTTATGGCTACAAGCAATGAGGTTGACTGCGGCAAATTAAGCAATTATTTCCACACATGTAGTTGTTGAGCTCAGCCAAGCTGCCTAATTGAAAGAGTATGCAATAACGTCATGAAGTGGAACAGCATTGAGAAAGTGTAGCTAGAGACCCAAGAGAGTGCTAGAAAATGGCAACATGGTGTTGTAAACACTGAGATTGCAGTTTTGGATTAAAGTACCGGTTTAAAGTCTAATGAAGCCTGTTGAACTGCATTAGAAGTGCTATATCAGCATTTTCGTTTCCCAATTTGTATTATGATGGAATAATATTGAATCATGAATTCTTGTTATTCCCATCTGACTATTTTGGTTGAAAAAGTGATGTGATTGAGTTTGAAGAAATGATTGTATCCCTATAGAATTGGGTCAAAATGAAAAAGTGAGAGATTGCCTAAATCTCTTAAACTTTAATGTTAGAGGAAAATTTACAAATTATGTATGTTGTTTAAGAAGGGAAATAAAAATTCTGAAGTAAAGAACTCTCTACCACAAATGAACCATGTACATGTGCTACCCATAGGCAACTCACACCCCAAATGATAACCCCTCACCTGGACCCCAATCCAGGGGGGCGTTTCACAAAACTTGTCATCAGTGACAAATGACAGTTTCTGTTATAAGCTACTGAAATCCTTGCTTCTGATTAATTATGTCATTTTTCATTGAAAAAAGGCTTTGTGAAATGGGCCCCTGATCACAGCCTGATCTGAATGCTCATAAAAGGATCCAAGTACTTGTTTGGGTGATAAACTGAATGGAATGTTCTCCGATGATAATGCAGCCAAACAGTACTTAATACTGGCTTGAAGGAGTCACCATTGAAAGCTTTCTGGAAAATCATGTGGTAGCTGCTGAATGAAGACTGTTGATCAATTAATTTGTCAAACGGACATGGTCTTTTGTTAAAGGGAGTGGGTAGTCAGTTTCCATGTGCAGAAGGCTATAATTCGCTGACACCAGACTTGGTGGAAATACCATTAATGGGAGTACAAATCTGCACACAGCAAACCCTTTGGCCCGTCAAGAATTACCCCCTAGTCTCTCGGAGCATGCTCGGAGATTATTCGGGTGAAGGAAAAGCAAAGCATTACAGTAGACCTAACGTTATCAAAGTCCATCAGTTATTCAATGCAAATTCTGTTAAGCAGTTAAAGAACCTTTCCAAATTTTGTAAGATCATTATGTCTAATTTTGGATAATTTGTTTTGTCCTTTTTAATACCTTAGAGTTTTAATTGGTTGTTGCCGTTTTTAGTAGCATAGTGTACATACATGTATATAGTAGTGTTAGTACTGCCAGTTGAGATGTAGGGTTTATTTTAATTTTTGTTAAAGTAGACCTATACCCTTAAGCTTGCCTTCATTTGTTTGTTGTTCGCTGCCAAAGTTTTTCTTGCTTTTAAAGATTTTCTGTGTGTGTTTAAAAAAAAAAAATTCTATATGAATATCATTGTTGAACATTATATAAGTACTATTCAACTGTATTTCTTCCATGCCCCAGTAGGGGCCGTTAAAGAAATAAAAAATCATTGTCATTGTCATTGTCACATAAGGTATAATGGTCATAAAACTTAAGGATAACCCTGGTGATTGACAACACCTGTTATTTGGGTAAACACCCAAACTCTGTCGAATTCCCCATGAGAGCTGACTTCTATGTGACTTTAATGTGTCTCCTGGTAGTCGTTTCACAAAGGATAATCCTTTCACAAAGGATAATCCTTTCACAAAGGATAATCCTTTCCACGTAAAGCTACCACACTGTCTTGAATACTCACCCACCATTGGAAACCTACAGAGAACCTCTTACTGGAAAGATTTGCATACATGTTCATGTACATGTACAGTCAAACCTGTATCAGTGAACACCTCTCTATAAAGACCACCTGTCTATAGTGGCCATGCATGTTGTCTCCTTGGAGAGATAAATGTGTATTGTAGAACCTGTCTAGAATGGCCATTTTTTCCCCCTTGGGTGATCTTTATAGACAAGTTTGACTATACTTGTAATGTGAATACTGTATTGCTTCATACATGTAGGATTCATTGAATCTACACCTTTTCAGCCCCTTGTGAAAGGAGATGGAAATTAAGTTGATCTTGTCATTATGTATTGATTCAATTGTTTAAAAATTTCAGCTTTGAAAGGAACCATAGAAGGAAAAGATATCAGAAGGTAACCTTTTACATTGACTAGTCACCACAAAAAAATAGAAGATGTAATAAGTTGCTTATGTTGCATGTGTACACCTCATATGCACGAAGGGGGGGGGGGGGGGTGCTTCATGTTGCATCAAGTTCATGACATTGTGGAAAACAAAGATGATGTTCTATGTTGGCTTGTAAACCCCATTTACAGAGAAAACACATTCACAAATCATGCATATTATTTATGTCACTCTATAAATCATAGTAAGTTTAAAAAAGCATGCCTTTTAATTTCTGACTAGGAACACTGCTTTTAAAAAACACTGCTTAATTGTTTGTTTTTGTTTGTTTAATGTTTCTAATCACAACAAAAGTCAACAATACTGTATATTTCAACTTCCCATTGATCAATATTATCATGGGCTGTACATGTAAAACATTCCAAGGAATAGATATTTGTATTTGTATTTGCTTTTGTTTTTGTTCAAAAGTAGATTGTAGCATGTGTATTTTAGTAGAAATATTTTGGCTTATTGTTGTCTCCAAAGTGAGTGAAAATACTCAAAATGTAGTGAAAATGCTGCTTGGGCAAGAATTAAATGTTTTCAACAACAACAAAAAATATTCCCTGAAACTGTTCTTTCCATTGTAAAAGATCGTTATTGAAAAACTTTTGTTTACATAGAAAAGTTTTGTAATTCGTATTGCTATTCCATTTGACTTGCTTACAATGTCCAAAATCATGTTCATATTTCTATACCAGGTCATTTTTTTATCAACATAATTGGTTGGAAACAATTAAAAACTAGTAGCCCTTAAAGGAGATAAAACAGAAGGGAAAATAATATTGTTATGTATTATGAATTACTCTTAAAAATGTTGATGATAAACAAAGTATTAATACTGCACCAAAAATGTTTAATACTGCACCAACATATTGCAATAGTTGAAGCGAGATGGCATCCCAGTTGAATCATGGAGCTCTAGTACTACCCTTTAAATGCACCCAGTTGTTTGTGCACGTCTAATTTTAATTGTAGCTGCTGTAACTTCAATTGTTCGTACAGAAGTTGTATTCCCCATCCCCTCTCCTTTTGTAGATTAGAAAGAGTACAGTTATTTTAAATCTACATTTAATTTGTCCATCAATTAGGGTTGTCATAGTTGAATGCATTTGTCATATGTATATACAGTACATGAGTATAGTTGTATGTAGAAAGTTTATATTGAGGTATTCCCACACCTACCCTTAAAATTACATGTAGTGCATATATTTGTTTCTATCATAAATCAGAGCAAGTTTTCATTCTATTATATTCTATTATTTTCAAGTGAATTTTGGCCACATATACATGTATACACTCCAAAAGTCATCCATCTTCATTCTTATATTTTATTCATCATTTATCATTTAATTATTGTGGCTATTCAGGAGTTGGCCTTGATTGACTAGTGATATTATTGGAGGTTTTAAAAGGTATTGAGGGGCATCAAGGAAAAGATAAGAGTCAAACTTGGAGACCATTTCCTTAGCTTGTATCCTGCAACTCTTTATTTTACAGTATATACATTTTAAGTACCCCCTCTTTTCTAATTTATTAAAAAAAGCTACCTGTTAACCAATTCTGACTCCCCTTGCCAATGGTTTATGCAAACCTCGCATGAAAACATTGCACTGGATGAAATTATACAGTTGCATGGTTGCATGATGGCTCTTTAAAGGTAAAGACCAGTTATGGTCATGCGATTGCATTGTGAAAGAAACGTTGTGGAATCGATCAAAAAGGTTGATCTTCTAGCATCTAGCATCTGCAAGGTTCTGGAATCATCAAAATGATAAGAAATTTGGCCCATTCTTAGTAAAGTTACAAGCACTATACACAGAAAGATGTATATGGGACTACCCTATATCTCTCACAGACCATGAGAGAAACAAATTTACCAAATATATGAATTAGTAGGCGGTTTCCTGGCGGTTTCCTGGCAAATTTTTTATCATCATGTATTAGTCAAAACATATGCTTTCACATGATTGGTAATGAGAGCTTCCATTTCATTTTTGAAATTGGGGCGTTTCCAATACTGATCTTTACCTTTAAGGATGAGTTGTTGATGAGTTAAGTCATACTTTGGGATGGAAACTGTCGGTGTTGACTCATTTAACTTCCAGGATGATAAAATGTGCAATAAGGAAAACAATTAAGACCATATGCGTCGTAATCCTGAAATGATTAATTATGAGTGGGGTTCATTCTATGTAGGTCATTGTGACTTTTCTTTCTTTGGTCATTGTGTTTACCAAATATTTCCAGGAATACAGCTTTATCATCTGCAACAAAATGATGCATTCTTTCCATTTTTCCTATTAATTTTTTTCCTTCATTTTTTTCTCTTTTTTTTGGGGGGGGGGGGGGGAGGGGGGGGGGGGGGGGGGGGGTCAGTTACCAATTTGTGTACCAGAATAAAGTTTTAAAGTGGAAACAAAAAAATCAAGTTTGTAATTAATGTGAAAGATTCAATCCCATTCATTTTGACATTTGACTATTATGATTGTTTACAGGTTGAAGACGTGGCCAGAAATTTCGGAGCTACCCTTGGGGCAGCCAGCGAGGCTCATGGGAAGCCTATGAGTGATCCCAGGATGCAACAGCTGCTCCGAAAAGCCCAGACGATGGCCGCTCTCCTCTCTGCCCTCATGAGAAGTCTGCGTATGCTTCAGCACTGACATTGCCGCAACCGATGCCTCATGAAATCCTCTTGGCAGCAAAAAAAAAATCTCCATGTTATTTTTAATTATCTTTGAGTCTGATCCTTTGCTTAGCCTTATAAAGCCAGATTAAGTGAGACTATTATCATGAGTAATTCTGTTCTTTATTTATGGTACATGGTTTTTATTCAAGGAAATGCTCTAGTTACAGAGTAGGAAAGTTCTTTCCAACAAGTGGGTGCTGTTGTCCTTACTATAGGGCCATATTTTGTAACTACACATCGTATTCTTTCATTTTAACGATTTTTTTTTTTAATGTTCAAGATTCAGTTTTATGTTCCTTTTCAGATTACTAAGTCAAATTTAGTCAGAATGTAATGGTGCTGTTATTACAGTCTTTCTGTTCAATTTATCAAGAATTTTAGGAACATGTTGATATTTGGCCGTCTGTATATCCACTGTTCATTGTGTACAGAGAAATACTTCACATTAATAATTTTTAGATTTAATGCGTTTGATTTTGCACTTGTAGATGGAGAATTACACCTTTTGACAATTTTTCTAAAATCTTAGTAAACAGTCATCCAGCGCTGGACGCATTTCAAGGATACTTCAATTTTTCTTTCTGCACAATTCAAGCTAGCAGCTATTATTTGTTAAGCAAATAATATCCAGACATGGTGTCCCCAATACGAGGCATGAGAGTCTATCATTGTTCAATAATCCACTTCAAGTAGACACACACTCACATGGGAAGTATTACATTATCCAAGTATTTGTTTTTGTGTAGTTGACTGACAGTTCTGTAATGTTCTAGTCTATTCTGCAGCCGTAATAGTGATAGCATCTTAATATCTTTACGTGGCAGCGAAAATTTGTCGTGAAATTGTATGATAAATGGGTTTCTGATCAGAAATATTCCTTTCCTCAATGTCGACGTTTGAGGACTAGTGGTAGCCCTTTAGTTTAGCAGTGTTCATGTTTATGCAAGGGCCTTGGTTTAAAACCAATTCGATGTGGTATTCTCAATTACCAAGTCCTTTGAATAGGACTAAAGTTGTAGGTCTCTGCACATGCAAGTAGCTGCTTTCTTAATAGTCAGATTTGATAAATGATCATTGAATAATCATATACAAATAGGGTAAAGTAACAAAGATACAACTGCAACTCAATTATGAAAACCATTAGATAAGAAAAAATACCGGTACTCCTTGAAAATGGGGAAGCGGCCATAGGTCGACTTTGAGAAGAAAGTAAACATGGGTGTAATACCTTCTCATTCAAACATGAACATATATTAGCATGAAGACCAAACTTTTCTGAAATAGATACAGAAAAGTAAGACTATTCAAACTTGAACCATGGCTATGGAAAGCTATGTGCACCGGTGGTGAACAAACAATAACAGATACGAGACAAGCAGCTTATGTTAACAAGACACTTTAACCTTAATATCCTATTCAAACAGAGATTCCACTACCACCGTGGAGTGACTGTGAGTTACTTCAAGTCGATTTGTTGTTTCTCTTCACATATTCCATAAAGAAGAAAAAAATGAGAAGAATATTTTACTGTTTTTTTTTTCCTCTTTTTTTGAAGCTCAAATATTCAAATGTTTTTGTTAGTCAATTGGATGTGAATTTTTATAGGATATTATGAGAAAGTAAAGCTGCATGCACCAAGGAGTTTTTTGTAGTGTTATTATAGCCTAAAAGCTCGTAGATTCATTTTTGCTTTGATATGCTGCTAGGGAAAAACGGAAAAATAAGCGAAATTCAAGGGTTGGACCACAAGCTGAAGCATGTTATTTTATAAAGTTTGTTTTCATTCAGAGGTCTTGATCTCTCCTCCTAAGTTTGTTCTTTTTTCCTATTTCTGAATATCACTATTTCGTGAAAAAAAGGAAATCTAATGGCCAAAACAAGAAGTCCAAATTTAGTATGCATATATATTTGTATCTTTTACTGTTCTAATGTTCTCACATAATGAAACTGTCAATGTATGCTGTTTCATGGAAGTGTGTGGCAATTTCACCTTGGAAAGTTTTAAGCGAGGCACCTTGGATTTTGTTTTGTTTTTCAGAAATGTTTAAATGATATTGCATGTCCAACGTGCATGCAGTGAAGCAATTTAAATAGCATTATGATTTAAAAGTATATTTCTGCATTAAAGACATTGCAATGATTTTCACTTATTCTATTGTTGGATGTACTGTACTGCTAAGTGAATGGCTGAATCTGTTATTGATTTTGCATGAATACATTTCTTGTTTATTTTAGTCCAAGTAGGCTGCTTTAAACTGCTTATAGGCTGCTGTTACCCATTATGTGCAAGATATTCTATAAACATTTACCCAGAAAAGTGCAAGTCTTTTTCTATTTATCTTTTGAAATGTAGAGCTTATTTTTATATATTTTTTCCCTGTCAAGAATCATCTCCTCTAAAAAAAGTTTAGAATGTGTAGAAAGTGAGCAAATACCAAATTATTTACACAGTAAAGGCACCTTGATCTTTCAATATCTATGATAAATCGATTCATAATGGTGATTCTAATGATATGGTGCATTGAGATATTGAAACACATTTGATAAGGATCAACTTGTGTTCCCTTTAAAGTTCTGTAGAAATAAAAATAATTTTGAAGATTTATATAAACTCAAGTGTGCATGCATGTTGGGAAAACATTTATTATATCGTTGTGTATGAAATCATGTACTAAGTTTTATATTTTCATAGTGTTAAGTAAGTCATCAGAAATGAAGCATTTGTTTAATAAGCATTCAAATTGCTTGTTAATGTTAACATGGGTGCTAGTTTCCTTCTTTCAGCATTTATGTACCAAAAGTTCATTTCATTTTGTTGTTACTGTTATAAAGACAACGAAGTAATACATTTATGAAACTTCACAATTTACCAAATTGATTGATTTTTCCATGTATGTAAGACCATGAATTTGCAATGACCAAGATGAAAAAGATGATTTAATGAATAGATAACTTTGCTCCTTGCTGAGGTAGTTAAATTTTCCTATTTGTATTATTGTACAAAGGAATTCACTCCATATATACTTTTTTTTAATTTGAAATCAACACCTTTAAGTATGCATTATAGCATAGCTATACATTTTTTTTGTATTTTGAGCAATGTTTTGTTTTAGAAATGGAGACTGAACCAAGGCAATTTTAGGGCTGGCTGAAAATGCAATATTTTTATTTGAAGAAAAAAATTGTAGGAGCAGCAAGTTTATTCCTTCATGTACATTAAGTTGAGGAAATAATCCAAAATTATTTTGTATTCAGTTATTCAAATTTATGTCATTTGAAATTATCAGAGTGAAGTAAATGATATATGTTCTGATATTTTCCTATTTCAATTTGTATACAAATCAAATATTTTGTGTATGTATAAATTTGCTGTGATATGTTGATGTTGAGGTTGCTCATATATATTGTATTCTATATTTAGATTTTTATTGTTCTAATTTGTAAATTTAGTTTGAGTAGATATCATTGAAGGCCCTCATTTATTCTCTTGTGTTTTCTGTTCAGAAAGTTATAATTCTAGTGAATACATGTATATTTTGGGATGGAATTTAAAATGTATGAAATATTCATAATGCTGTAAGTACAGAGAGTAGTGTTCTATTGAACATACAATTATTTCTCATGCTGTGGCAAGTCATAAAGGAGATGTTGTCATTGCTGTTAACACATGGAAGTCCATTTAATGTAATGTTGAGTGCTGGTAATGAAATTCAAGTTACGGTTTAACCTGTTGAATACATATCGTCCCTATTTTCACGAAGTGACGGTAGTGAGGAAAATCGTAACGCAAAGTGAATGCGATTTTCATTCACTACCGTCACTTTGTGAAAATAGGGACGATATACATGTACTTATCCCAAGATAATTTAGGCTCCGGTGCATGGAAAACACATGTTATACCATAATTAGATTGTTGGCAATGGCTTAAATGTCCTGAGTTATTGTTTGTTATGTAGTACGCAGTACGCAAATGTACATTGATTTTGACCAGTTACAGGAAAAATGAAATCTCTGATGAAAACATGATAAGAATGTACACTGAAAAGTAGCAGATATTAACACATACATGTACATGTATGACACAAAGTATTCCCATTATAAAGCACTTTGATGTATGTCTGTACTTTACACTCTGCTAGACATTTTCCTTAATTTTGTTTTACAGATATCACTTCTTGAAATTTTAACATTCAGTGTAAATTTTATTGGAGTACCAAAAAAAATTATTCAATACCAGAATGCAATATCCCCCCCCCCTTATGGTGTGCATGTGACAATATCAAAATATTAACAGCCTTATTATGAGCTACAAGCAGCCACACTTTAAAATAATTGTACCACAAACGTCATGAAGGTATAAGTTGTTGGTAAGATATGGGTGGCAGTGGATGATCTCTTATTTGCTCTGGCTGCATTGTAGGCATGCCTTCATTTTTTGTCAAAAAAGAAAGTAGGGTTAACATTTAAGTTCAAATTTGGTATTGGGTTAGGTTTAAGGTTAATTTTTAAATTAGAAATGGGATCAGGTTCTGGGTTGAAGTGAGGAATCGGGTATGTTAGGAAGTTGACAGTAGAGCTATATTTATGATGAGAACGACCCTTGCTAAGTAAAGGGGACCCGAACCTAGCACGCTTGTTGTAAAAATATGGTGCTCGATTTGCAATCAACACATGGTTGTGGTCAAATCGTCCCAATTAAACCCCCCAGATTGGATAGTAGATTGGCAAGTGTGAAAAGATATGCAAGTGTGAAGAGATCTAAAAGGTCCTGTTAACTAGAGGGGTCCAGTTTGCCAAAAAGAAATCATATCCTGTTATCGAGTGAGTAGGCAAGGATTGTATTTCTGTCAATCTAGCTGGAATGGTGTGAAATGAAACACTTTCTGTCAAATTCTTGTTTTTGGCTTCAGTGAAAAACTTATTCCTTTTTCTTGCAAGACATGAATCATTGATTTAGATCAGTCTAATTCCAACTCCCTGGGCTAACTTTTGTCTACACTTTAGACCCTTCCTCTCCCCTTTGTATAGACATGGATAGTCATCCAAGACAGTTTTCATGAGAGATATTCCTTTTCTGGTTGAGGTAGTTCCTTTGGTAGGTTCTAATCCTGAATTGTGAATAGGCATATTTATAGACATTTAAATTTATTGGGAAATGGGTGCAAGCAGATTCATATTCACAATCACAAGGGGAGGGATATTGCATTAACTAGATGATTATGCTACTTTGGATACCTAGTCAATTCCAAAACTATTAGGGGGGGGGGGGCATCTGAGTGGAAAATTATCCAGGAGAGTTTCCCACTGCAATTCATCTTTAGACTTTACCACAGTGTATACCATCATTCCACTTGAGTATTTGGTATCTTTATAAGAAGTTTACCATGCTTCATTGCAGCATGTATATGGCATGTTTGGCAAATGGTTAGCATTTTGCTTTACAAGATGACCGACAGGGCATTCAAAAGGCGTAGTAGATGTGTAAAGATATATTTTTGTATGAGCCTTCAAATGCCTCTGTCATCGTATGATGTTCGAACATACATGTAGCATACTGGTATTCTCAATCAAGAATGTCTGATACAAGATGATTATCAAGAGATAAATTACCCAAGTTCTTTTGTGTTCAAATGGGTCTTTCTCGTACTTCAGCATTTGAACATTGTAACCTATCTTGTGATAGTGTTTGTAAAAAGCAGAATATGTATACATAAAATATGATTATGGTTGTTATGTTGCTTATGTTGTGCCTTCAGCAAAGTTCTTGGTATAGAGGCTATTCCGTCCAGGGTTTGTGCTGTAACATACTGAGAAAAAAGAAAGAAAGAGATATTCTGAAGAAATGTAGTTGGTGCCAGTGAAATTTGTGTGATTTTTATAAAAAGTTGTAGCAAATAGCGTCAATGTCATTGTGAATGTTCGGCTACTCTGTTTAGTTAATCTGGAATTCAGAGAGTTATTTTCCTTCATTTTGGTTGCACTGGTTCATAAAAAGAAAAATACTGTAGACTTTAAGAGAATACATTGTAGTTATAGTCTGTAGAGTACATAAAACAGTTTTTTCACTAAGATGTGGTACATAGTCCTAAGCATGGGTGGGATATTTGATGATTTAGACCAAGCAGGATTATTCATTGATATTAAACGGACATTCCTCTATTTATGTCATCAATTTGTTTAAAGAAACAAAAAACATAAAACATGTACTTAGAGGAAGTGTGCCATATGAGGTTTGGGATAGAAAACCTCTCAACATTCCAGATCACGTCAAAGTTTGATATTCATATTTTATTTCTCAATGTGAAAATCATGATTGAACAGGTACTAATGTAGTTGCTATTATTCAGTATGTTAATTTCACCAAATCTTATAGTTCATACTCAAAGCGGTGGTTTTGCTTTTCAAATCGGCCAAACCTGCATGATATGTATATAATTTAAGCAGTGTAAATCATGTTGTAGTAAACAGTTTTTATAATAAACGGTAAATGCATCTCAAAGTTATCATTGTTCCAAGGTTTCATTGTATTGTTTGGTTTGTGAGCATTTCATATACGTGCAGCTGTCCTCTCTCTCCCTCTCCCTTCCCCCTCTCTTTATTTTTATTTTTTTAAATAATTCAATTTATTTTATTTCCAGGCAAAATGATAACATTTCATACAAAACATCTCTAGGTTGACAAAATGATATAACATTAACGTAATGATATTTATCA